AGTTGTCTATCACGTTCTTTAACGTGTTATAGACAATAATATGTCATCCGCCAGAGACATAATTTTTTAGAGCATTTTTAGCTAGGACAAGAGATTTCCTATGAACTTTAAGTTCATATGTATTTATACGAGGATCAATAATTTATGAAATCTCATCCATCAGCTTTTTGCATTTGATTTGCAATTTATTATGAATAGTGATCTATTTGAACTTTGAACTCTTAAGTTCATATTTATTATAGTCATTTGTTCATAGATCTTAACTATTCAATGATTCTTCCATAATGATGGGGAACTTTTATCATCAACAAGATGATATGCAAATCTTGCAATAGGCACATCTCTCATAAGATGGCTCAATATTATAGAGTAGAGACTCATCTCTAGCGTCTATATATTTCATCCTCTTAGGATGTCAATTTTTATGCGGTGCAGAGGAGCATTTATATAAATCTCACACCCATAAAATTCAAAATGAGAAATATTTGATCTCCAATCATGTATATATAACATTGGAGAAATATTTTTTATAACTCATTGGCCTTATATAAAATTATTAATACATGCAAAACTGCATGCTCCATATAAAAACATAGAGATTAAATAACCATGAATCGTTTTGCAATCTCTTGGATTTGCACTATGAACGATTCACTTAAAGCTCATTTTGAGAGTGAACATCATTTTTAAATGTTCCACTTTATCAAAAAGCGATAAATTTTAGGATATGACTTCACCAGAGTTATCTCGCTATGGGGTGTCAAATTCACCAAAATTTATCGACTTATTGTCGATGTGGGATTCCTTTAATTCTCCCCCTCGAGATGATAACTCTTCGAGTTCATTCATCTCGAACTGAATCCCACTTTAGGATCAATAACATATCCAATCTGGATATGTATTTAATTTTAGATCCTTATAAAAATGTGGAACTCGTTACACCCCTTTCCAAGAATATGGCTTTCAAACCTATCGATTTTGGACCGAATCTTATTTTTAGATCGGTTATATACGGGGTTTATTTGGGGAAAATATTACGGAAATCGACCATTATATATATATATTGTGAGCTTGTTAAACAAAAAATTGGTGATCTGGCCAAAAACCATATGATTCTGGAGGCATAGCCTACTACAGAATTAAAGAGAAGGTATACAACCTTCAAATCCATATATATAATATAAAATTTTAAATAAATTTAAATAAGCGTAAATAAATTCAACATAAATTAATTGTTACCTCAAAAATATGGATGGAAGCATGCAGTGCTTGAATAAGCTTTTCTTTCTTTACATAAATTTTAAGTGATATTTAATCACTCTTTTTGAGTGCTAATTTAGGTCATCAATATATACAGCAATGATCACAAATCTCGATAGAGATATCTTAATAAAGACGGAAAGGGCATATTTTGTTACTAACATACCCTTTCTTAAATAAATAATGGCTTAAGCGATTATACCACATACGTCTGGATTAATTTTAATCCGTAAAGTGATCGCTGTAATTTGACCGTACATATTTCATTAGACTTTGAGTGTAATGGCTCAGGAACTTTAAATTCTTTTAGGATTTTTATGTATATATATCATTATCCAATCCATATAAATATGATGTCACTACATCCATAAGGTACATTTCTAAATTATAAGAGACCGCTAGCCTCATTAAGTACCTAAATGTAATTGCATTCATGACCGGAGAATATGTTTCTTTATAATCAACTCCAGGTCTTTGAGAAAAACCTTGTGCAACAAGTCGGACTTTATATCGTGTGATTTCAACTTTTACGCACGAAGACCCACTTGCACATAACAGGTTTTACATCTTTAGATGTAGTGACAAGAGGTCCAAAGACATCTCTTTTATTAAGGAAGAGCAATTCAATATAATGCACTTTTGTTTTTTCAATTAGGCCCTTGCTGACACTGATACGGATCCTGGATCTGGATCATTATTTTTAACTGCATTTTTTACCGGGATGGCTTAACCGGTTATGCTATGCTTAAAGCATTAGTAAACTTCATGTTTACTATCTTTTATATTTTTGCCATTTTTTTTTTTGGGGCTTTTGCAAAAATGCCACTTTTTCAATGCCACTTTTCAAAAATACCCCTTTTTTAAAACCTTATAAAAAATGCTCTTAAAAATATAAGATTTACCCAAATATGTATGTAATAATATTAAAACATACACAAACTACATTTCTATGTATCTAAAATCTTATAAATACTTTATAAATACCTTATAAATGCATTTTAAATACCTTTAAACACCTTTAAAATATCTTGTAAAACCTTTGAAAAACCTTAAAAATCCTTTAAAATAACTTGTAAAACCTTTAAAAACACCTTATAAAACTTTATAAATACTTGGATCGAGTCTTCAAGTAGTAGTTACAATCCATAAGTACCTTATAAACCTAATAAAACTTTATAAAAATTTCAGATTTAAAAAGGAGCATTTTTGAAAATGGACATCTAAAAGGGGCATTTTTGAAAAGGGGCACACCAAAAGGGGTATTTTTAACAATTTCCCTTTTTTTTTTTGCATGATATAATCATACATATGCGTGTCTCCATTGTGGTCGAACATTCAATACCACATTAATTTATAGTCTCAATATAATAATTATAAAGAAAGATATTCTTAGAAACTACGCGAGTTTCTAAGAGACTTTGGAGTACACAAAACATCAATTATTATGAATCTGATGCATTTGGAAGTCAAGAGGCTATCATCTAGACCTTCCAATTTATTTTGCACCGTCTAAAAATATATTTGACATATGCTTCATATATTCTCATAAGAGAAATATATTTTTGATTTTAAAGACATGTTTCAAGGTCTTTAAATCTCATATAACACATATATATATTTTTAAAAAATAAAATAAATAAAAATAATTAAACTCATAAATGTATAAAATTAATAATATAGAGACCACAACCTTTTTATACAAGAATTCAGGAGGCATCGCCTTCCATTAAGAATTCAATAGGCATAGCTTTCGTTTGATCGTAGAGAAGGAGGCAGAGCCTACCATATATATCGATCAATCCGGAAAAAAATATAAATTTTCATTTGATCGTTAGGAAGGTAAAACCTACCATATATGACGATCGATCCGGAAAAAGCATAGCTATTTATTTGATCGTAAAGGAGGCATAGCCTACCATATATAACGATTCATCCGGAAAAGACATATCTTTTTAATTGATCTTGAAGGAGGCAGAGCCTACCACTTACAACGATCAAACCGGAAAAAGGCATAGTCTCACGATGTCTATAATAATTATGTTCTCTAAACATAAATAAATTTAAACAACATTAAATTTTACTTACCTCGTAAACTCTCAAGCGGTAAAGACATCGTGCTGATAACCTGTTATAAAACATAACGTAATAAATATATATGTATATGTGTACTAGAGAGAGAATGAGAGTGGGGGAGAAAGTTAGAACAAACGAAAGTCATTCTCTCATTATTACTTTCTCATCCTTCTTCTCCTCAGTGTTACATGTATATAGGGGACTAGTAATAGATAAACTATACATAAGATAACTTCTAAAGACTTGGAGAGTAAGCAATTCTAATTGCTTGGAGAACAAGTGTTATATAGATAAGTATCCTTAATGGATAATTATTATTTTATAACAATTTTAATTTCTTAAAAATATTTTGGCTTGGAAGCCACCGATTCTCAAAGCCTACTCTAAAAACAACATTTTCTCCGTAAACTCTTTTTGATGCGTAATCTTAATAGATATTTAAATTAATGCAATAATTTAACAAAACCAAAAAAAATATTTTTCGTAAATAATATTCAAATAATTATTTATTACACTAATTAAATATTTCACAATAGTATAATGACACTATGTCATTTAACATAGTTAACAATTCTAATAATATGAAAAACATAAAACACTAACTTTAAATATACAATTTTTTCAATTAAAAATTAAATAAAAGTTGACTTACGGTATGTCACGGGTTAAATCCTGGACCACATTTTTTGTTTGGACACATTTTTAAGTTATTTTAAAATTTGTTAAACTTTGTGATAGTATTTAAATATTTAAACTTTATAAAACGTTTAAATTCTATATAAAAAAATTAGTATTAATAAATATTTGAATTCTATAAAAGTTAATAGTAAAATTATTATGGGGACCATTTATAAGAAAATTTGAAATTGACTCAAATTATATGTCTTTTAAATAAAATATTTTCTTAAAAAACAACAAAATGATGTTTAATTTTACGGGACGGAGTTATATGGTGGGACTAGTTTAGATCGATATTAATACGGAACGGTATATCACGGGTGAAATCTAGAATTAACAATCAAAATACAAGTATACAATCATAAACACTAAACAAAACAATAACATTAACAAAACAACAACAACTTAAAATTTAAACTTTTTAGTTACAAAAATATCAATCCGCGGTAAACTGCAGGCTAAAATATCAATCAATCATAAAATTATAAACAAAAAAAATTCTTAATCAAAAATATATAACACAAATAATCAAGTTATAAGAAAACACAAATACAAATTTATTTATCCCGCGGTGTACCGCGGGTCATATCCTAGTGTATAATTATAATAAATGTACCATTAATCTGTGAGATAGAAAATGTAAAACTTATATTAATTATTTAGTAAATATATGACAAATGCTAAAGTAATGACCAACTTTCTTATATATAATTTCACTAAAAAAAAGTATGGTCTTCAATTACAATTTTTCATAATCAAAAGAAATTATGCCAATACATACCCAAAACCGTTTTACATTTAGCTAATTCATACCCGGACTAAAAACTTTTGGTCAAAACCTGCATTTACCACGGCAGACAAAGTGTCAATCTTGACGGCCCAACTCGGCCCAAATAGGCCCAATAACTTTCTCCTCCTTTCTCATGTCTGCGCGTGGATATTCTCTGAAAAGTGTATCTCCTCTCTCGCCTCTCTCTCTACTCCTCTAAAATTCACTTTTCTAGGGTTTTCGATTTTGTGTATTTCACAATTCACAAAACCCAAAAATCTGGGTTAAACAATTTGGTTATGGATTCTCGAGATTCGTTATCATCCGACGCCGCTAGAGATTCGTCGTCACTCTCCGAAGACGCAGCTGTTCTTTCTGTAACCTCTGCACTCGCTAAAACCGCTCTCTCTTATTTCCAATCTGGAAAATTCGAAGAGTGTTTCGACATTCTGATTCAGCTTGATCAAAAGAAACATAACGATCCCAAGGTTCAGTTTTTTCTTCTTCTTCTTCTTTGGATTCAATAGTTTCGCTTGAAGTTTGGATTTGCCTTTAAATAATTCTACCAGTTTTGATTCTTACATGTTTAGATCGATACTTAGAATAAAGAAGTTTAAGTTTGACTTGATATACATTTTCCTAAGTTTAGATCTGACTTGTCCAAAGTTATTGATTTTGTTTCTCTTTGAGTAGTTTTACTCTATTGCGAAGTTGAGATAGGGTTTTTTTTTAGCTTTGTATGCATCAGATTTGTAGAGGAAAGTCTTCATTTTTCAGTGATTGGACCTTTGATTGCCTAGATTTAGAACAAGTCATGCCTAGATTTAGAACTACTTTACAAAGAATGTTGAGCTACGAATGTTTATAACATTACAATTATGCGGCACTATATCATTTGACTTTGTTAATTATTTTTCCAGAAAACCCATGGTTTATGAATTGTTTTTGTTATTGATCAAGCAGGTTCTTCACAATATGGCAATTGCTGAGTATTTCAAGGATGGTTGCTCAAATTCCGAGAAACTGGTGCAAGGGCTTAACCGTGTCAAGGTATGAGCCATCTATCTATAATTTACATCAAATCTTCTTCTGCATTTTTGCTGTCCATGAGAATGATTTCAATCTGGAGTTCTCGTTTTTCTATCTTGTATCTTCTCTAGACTGGACCAGGACATTAGGGAAAATATACTGGAGAAAGTAATGTTATTAGTAGTCTTTATGTATGACATGGTTTCTTCTTCTCTTCTATTTCTTCAGAAACAGAGTGAAGAACTTGCTTCTGCAGCAAGAGACCAAGTGGAAGCTGCAAACCCTGGAACTAACGCATCTGTGTCAAAGGATCATTTTGATAGTACAGTAACAACTCTCAACATTGTATGTTCTCATGTATTCCCATGTTTTTTTGAGTCTCAGCTATGCCATTCGCATTTGTCAAGGTTAAGTATTGATGTATATTGGTCTCCTGCAGGCAGTTACCTGGTTTCATCTGCATGACTATTCAAAATCTTTTTCCATTCTAGAACCCTTGTTTCAAAATATTCAGCGGCTAGACGAGGTATGTATCCATCTTTTTGTTGTATTTTGTTAAACCCGTCCTACTGCCTCTAAGTAGACAACTTGCTATTTATATGCAGACAATCGCACTTCAAATCTGCTTCTTGTTGCTGGATATTGCACTGGCTTGTCGTGATGCTGTAAAATTTTTGGTAAGTGTTGTCACTGGTCTCAAAGTCTTGAAATATAGTCCAACTGATCTCTTTTGCTAGTGGAAAATTCAACCAATATCCATGGGCTGTTTAGTTAAGTTTCTTCAAATGAAATGTAGTGCCTTTTGTCGCTGAATTTTAAATATGTCTGCAAGATTCTATTCTTGTCATGAAGAACAAATATGATATATCTATAACATGCCTTGCTAAATTGAAAACCAGCTGGTGTCCAAATTTTTTTCTAGAATACATGTAATCGGGGACATATAATTCTACGTAGCTATAATCTGATAGGGAATGTTGGACTTTTAGTTTATTGCGAGGAAATGGATTTTCGCTTGAATGATATACCGTGACACCCCTGAATGACTTTTTGAATTGATAAGTTAGTATTCTCATTGCATGGAGTCTCTCTGTAGATGTTTCCTTCTCTCTGTATCTTACTAGTATTATTTACAGGCTGTGTTTGACTATATGGAGAAAGCTTTTGGTGTTGGTTTTGGAAGTCACGAAGAAAATGGAAGCACAATGCAACTTTCTTCAAATCAGGTTTCCAAGACATCTTCTCTCCTGAGCAGCTCGCTGGCGTCAGATACTTTGAAGTCCGAGTTAACAGCCGCTGAAAGTAGTCTGTGTGAGGAAACTCTAGACTATGACAATGTGCTAGCAGAATTTGAGGCAGAGAAACGAATGAAGCCAGTTGGCCATATTCCGGCAAACAATCTTCTCAAGACATTAAGCGAAAGGACGTTCTCGAATGCCGATCTGAAGCTTGAGTTGCAGCTTTACAAGGTCAGGTTTTTGCTTCTTACCAGAAACTTGAAAATGGCGAAGCGTGAAGTCAAACATGCAATGAACATTGCTCAAAAAAGGGACTCTTCTATGGCTCTCCTCTTGAAATCCCAGCTTGAGTATGCTCATGGGAATCATCCAAAGGCTATAAAGCTTTTGGTTGTCTCCGGTATTCATAAAGAAGCAGGGACTTCAGGAATCTTCAAAAACAACCTTGGTTGCATATACTATCAGCTTGGAAATTATCAAGCTTCCTCTGTGTTATTCTTAAAAGCTCTAAGGAGCTGTTCATCACTTAGAAGAAACGAGAAACCAGTGAAGCCGTTTTCTCTCTCACAGGATAAGTCTTTGTTGATCATATACAACTGCGGGTTGGTTTATTTGGCTTTGGGGAAGCCTCTACTTGCTGCTCAATGTTTCCAGAAGGCAAGCGTAGTTTTCTGGAGACAACCCCTCATTTGGCTCCGTTTAGCTGAATGCTGTATGATGGCTTTACGAAAGGGTCTTTTGGAAGAGCGAACTACTTCTTTGGATAGATCAGAAATCAGAGTCAGTGTAGTTGGGAAAGGGAATCGGAGACAACTTATGATTGAAGAAAATGGATATGTTGAACTTGCTGGCAATAGTCAATTGTCAAAGCTTTCATTACCACTAGCTCGGGTCTGTCTCTCAAATGGTATATATCTGCTCAATGAGTCTCTCTCGAATGATTCTAAATCAGATCTTGGATCAACATTCTCTGTGGGGATGAATGAGACCAAAGAAGCATCATCCTCTGATCATGAGGAAGCTAACACGAACTCAGACTTGAAAGAGGCAAAAGGAGGAATGAGCCAGGACATAATTCAAAACTCACTCTCGGCTTTCAAGGATATGTGTAGTAAAGAAAAGCAGTTGATGCAACAGGCTCTTTTTGCCAATATGGCATACGTAGAATTGGAGTTGGAGAATCCTGTCAAAGCCTTGTCAGCTGCTACTTCACTCTTGCAACTTACAGATTGTTCAAAGATTTATGTTTTCCTAGGCCATATCTATGCAGCGGAGGCCCTCTGCTTGCTCAATCGACCCATTGAAGCTGGCGCACATTTATCTGCCTATTTAGTCGGACAGGATGATTTCAGACTGCCATACGCACAAGAAGACTTTGACCAGTGGTGGAAGCACACAAGCTCTGATTGTGAAGAGACATTGGATCCGTCCACAGGAAATGCCCGGGAATCTGTTTTTCTTAAGCCAGAAGAAGCTCGTGGAGCACTTTTCGCAGACCTTGCTGCGCTGCTTGCCACACAAGGACATCACGACCAGGCAAAACCTTTGATTACACACGCATTAACTCTCTTACCGAACAATGTACAAGCTACAGTTACAGCAGTCTACATCGATCTCATGTTGGGTAGGTCGCAAGATGCCCTTGCTCGGTTAAAACAGTGTACCCGTGTGAGCTTTGTTCCAGGCAGACTGGAAGTGAGAGCCTCATAGAAGATTTGTACTCTAATCGGTATGGTTTGTTTTTTTTTTTAAATTCAAGCTTTAGAAATTAGTTGGTTCTATAAATATCAGAGAATAAGCTTTTGTACAAGTTTTTTTTTTTTTGTTTTTCATTTTAAATTTCTTGTGTTAGTACTGTGAGATGATATTTGCATTCTTGACTTAGATTTTGGGTCGTCTGAGGGTTAGTCGATTTCTTGTTCAGGAACAAGATAAGATTGGTAGAACAAAACACAAGTTTTTGTACTTTGTTTAAATCTTGTTTCAGAACAGACCCTTTAAATTCAATTTACTATGGTTTTATTTTATTTTATAAAGGCTTTAGTAGATTTGAAACTTCATCCAAAAGCAAAGCTATAGTGGAACATGTGAAACCTTGTCAAGAAACCCTAGTTTTGAACTCGTAAAACCTTGTTCGGAAGTTATACTGCAACATTCTTTTTATTTATTTATACAAAGTCTATATTTTTCTCTCTTTTTTATACAAATATGCAATTAAACAAAATGTTCCTTTAATTATAATACTCCAGTAATGTAGAAAAAAGCTTAAGAGATACAAACAATATAATACGTGTACGCTAGGAAATTCTCGACCCGCGTAAAAGAGGGTCCTAGAAGTTTCTACTTCGACACGTGGCTCCTTCTCGGTCTATCTTCTTGAAGTCATAAAAATTAACTAATTTTTATAATCACTAAAGGCATATTAATTAATTCCCTTTTTTTGTCGGCAATTAATTAATTAATTCCCTTTAAAGAATAATGTTACATTGGATATCATTCCCAAGATAAAACATAAATCCAAAGGGATTATATATAAATTAATAGATTGTTAATTTATGGGTAAAATATCTTTAAAAGTTAAAGAGTGTAAATAAATAATGATTTTTGGGTATATTTACGGTCATTTTCCTTCACCCTTTTTAATTCCGCATAAAGTAAAATATCCTGAAAACGGAAAAATTCAGTGTTTTCAGATTCTCCTCTAAAACGACAAAAGCTTGTACAGAAATCTGACCACAATAATGGCGAATAACGAAGAACTCTCTGAAGATTCAAACTCCAATGGACTAGACTCGTTTGATGCTGTAAAACAACGTTTCAAAGATCGATCAAAGGTACATCAGATTCGATTTCACCATTTTGATGTTTCAATTTGTAGATTTTGACTTCTGTGCCAATTTTTGATTTTGACAGAAAGTTGTTCAGACAAGAGAGTTGTTGTCTAAACAAGCGGTACAAACGCGTGAGATCTTATCGAAACAAGCCGTTAAGATCGCTAAACAAGCCGAAGAACATGAGAGATTCATCAATAAGGTTATCTTTCTTGATTCATTTATTTAAAACCCAATCATGTTTTGGTTTTAAGTTCTTGCGTTTGAAAATGTTTGTTCTGTAATGTTTAAAGGTGACACATCTTGTTGGAGTGCTTGGATTTGGAGGTTTTTGTTTCCTACTTGGTGCAAGTGAGTTCAAGAAATTGTGATTTTTATGTTTTGTTCTCAGAATTAAATCAATGTTGTTGATATTGATTTATTGATGATGTTTTGTTCTCAGGACCTCAGGACATTCCTTTAGTTTACTGTTTCTTCTATGTGATCTTTGTTCCTCTTCGATGGATATATTACCGGTTTAAGAAATGGCATTATTATCTTCTGGTAATGTCTCTTTTACATCTACCTTTTTTTTTGAGGTTTTGGTATAAAGAAATAGCATTTTGATTATTGTTTAAACAATTGTGTGTATGTGATAGGACTTTTGCTACTACGCCAACACAATCTTCTTGGTTGATCTTCTTCTATATCCTAAGAATGAAAAGCTTTTCATGGTTTGCTTTTCCTTTGCTGAGGTATGATTTTGTAATTCACATGAACACATGTATATGAGTCTTTGTGTCATTGTGTGTGCTGATTTATCAATTGGTTGGGCTTGTGCTGCGGTTTTTTTTTGCAGGGACCATTGGCATGGGCGATTATTGTCTGGCGTTGCAGTCTGGTTTTTAGTTCGCTGGATAAGATTGTTAGTGTTCTTATACATCTCTTACCTGGTGAGTTCTGTAATCTTTTTATTACTCTTCTTGTTGATGGGATGCTAGCTTTTTTATTCCCCTCTCAATCATGTTTAGGATTTTGAATCCTGTACATAGAATAGACGTAATCACATGGTTCTCCGTTGCATACCCTGGATAAGGTTTGATGATTTTATTGAAGCTTATGCTCTCTCGCTCCTGGATTATTTAGTCTTGCAATGACTTTGGTTTCAGGGCTTGTGTTCTTCACAATTAGGTGGTGGAATCCAGCGACCTTTGCAGCTATGCACCCTGTAGGCACTGATCGTAGGGTTTCATGGCCTTATGTGGAAGACAAAGCTTACCTATTTACATGGCTGTTTCTTATCCCCTTGGTCGTTTATTCTCTTTGGCAAGTGCTCTATTTTCTAATCGTCAATGTCTTGCGTAGGCAGAGACTCCTAAGAGATCCTGAAGTTATGACTTCTTACAGGTATCATCCCTGCTACATCCCTATTGGTCTACTCTGTATGTTAATGCTGTCCTCATAGTTGAATGAATGATCAATTACTGGAAATATTATAGGTCCGAACGTCCAGTAGCTCCTACGTCTAGTTAATATTATTGCTTTGAGAAATATTGCTTCTCCCTTTCTAATTAGTAATTTCGTGGAATAGCGGAATTGTGGAAATGGGAAAGGTTATCTGAATAATGGCTTGTTTCTTTGTTTGTCATTAATAGTAATTTTAAACACAACAATGCTGCGAAAAATGTGATTGGTAAAAGCCTGCTGAATTGCAGAATGATTCCACTATTCCGCCATTTTGCGTGTTACTAATCATACTTTCTATAGTCTGACGTTATGTTAAATCAGATTGTTTATGTGTTGAAAAATGGTAACATGTATCACACTGTTGTTAAATTGCTACTCCGTGAATGTTTCATGGCTACGGCCACAAAACAATAGAATGTGTTCTTACCATAGACTGAACCTGTCCTGATGGAATCCTCTGGTCTGTGCAGAGAGCTGTCGAAGAAAGCTGAAAAAGCAAACAATAAGTTGTGGCAGCTGAGCGGTCTGCTAGGGGATCAGAACCGTATATGGATGTACATCCTATTCCAGGCCATCTTCACAGTGGCAACCATGGCATTGACCGTACCGATCTTCCTATCTTATAGACTGCATGTAATCTTTCAAATCCTGAAGATTTCTGCGGCAGTGTGGAACGGAGGGAGTTTTTTACTAGAGGTAATGCCACGGCAAGTGATCCAGAAAGAGAAGAAGAAGAAAGCAGAGATGCAGCCGATAGAGGAGCAGATACCACACCATGAACCTGTGTCACCTCCAACTGAGAATGAGCCAAAATCTACTGAAACATGATGATGGTTGTAACAGAAAGGTACATGTAAAATAAAGTTTTCAAAGGTGAATCATGATTGGTCTTTTTTTTTGTTCCTCATGTTTTGTTCTATAACGGTTTGTTTCTTTTGTTGGTATACATCATTCTAAAAGCTTAATGTGAATGATCTTGTAGTTACCTTTTCTAAAGAAACTTGTTATTTACTTTTTAGCCAAAGTTTTGTTCCTGTTTCGCTAGGACATTCTACATCAAAATTGCATTATGAGAGATTAACTATATTTGTAACGCGTTTGCGAGAAAGGAAAATCTTCCGATTTCAGCAAAGTAGCTTGGGATAAGTTCTCCTTTAGATGCAAAGGATTAGTGCTGAGACGCGCATTTTGTTTTCTATTTTTGCTGTACAAAACAACCATCACTATAGATCAGAAAATTATAATCAACGATCAAAGTATAATGGCAATAGTGATGGATGTATATCTTCTCTTTCTTTTGCTTTTAGAGGTATGTTAAATCTAACCATACAAAAGCTCGAGCAGTTTGATAGCATTATGAAGTCCATCATGTCCAATACGACTATTGTTCAGTCTCTAATTAGGATCTTGAGTATCTCTAAAGGTCAGTAGCTGATCTCACCGCTCGGGAACGGTACCGCCTTCCCACCACCGTACCAGATGCTCTAACATGGAGCCTAAAGCAACTCGTTCTTACCAACGACGACTTCCACTGAACCTGCCTGGTAATCCACCAACAACATGATCATTTGGAGAGCTTTGATCGAGCTAGAAACCATCACCATCGACCCCAATTTGAAAATGATCGAGACAATCCACCCGGAGAGAGAGACGCGTCGTACCAGACCGTTACTCACCAGAACAAGTTCTCTTGATGAATTCTACACAAGACCGTCAACTTGAGCTCGGCCAAAGAATTCACTCAAAAACCAACCATGAAGAAGCTTTTGATCGAGGCAAATCACCCATGTACCGAGCTGATTTGGAAGAAGATTCAAGAACCGCCAATTTGCACCGTACCGGTCAAGTTGACTCAAACCAAATAAAGAGCCCCCTGATGTACTTGAAGACTTTCTGCTGGTTACTTATATTCACCCTCATGAAGACAACACGGCGTTTAGAAATTGACACCCATTCTGTTTACACGTCCAAAACCAAGAAAGAAGAAACTTTCCTTTTCTGGAGAAGTGTTTGCCTTTTCTATCAAGATCACGTTACCAACTCTTGATCCAGATCCTCCATTCCTCCTTAATAATCCTAGACGTCCATTCCTTGAAGAAAAACACCTAAGCTGCGACTTAACTCTCGACGCCATCACCGAAGATCCTCCATTAAAGCCTAACGGCTAGAATCATCACGCTCCTCTCTTTATTTCGCATCATTCAGTTTCTTTTTCTAAGTTTTAGACCGTTGTTGCACTTTTCTATTTAAGCTCTTTATTTCTCTAGCTACTTTGTATTCACGCTTTGATCAATTGAAATTCAGTTTGTTTTTGCTTCAATACTTTGTGTCTTGAATAGCCCCGGCTCAAACATATGCTAGGCCCTGGGGCAAAAAAAAAATGGACCCCTAGTATATTGGAAAAAATAATATTTACAAGAATAAAACACAGAAAACATCACTTCAAAAATTAAGCAACAAGATCATTTTATAAAAGAGATTTGGCCCAATAAATCAATAAATTTTTTGGAATTATTGGTCTAGAGTAAATCAACATCTAACTTGGGCCCAACAAAGTTTTAAAAAGAAGAATTACGTTATGCTTAAAAGGAATGCAAATATATATGGGCTTTTTTTTAATAATAATTTTCTTTTTTTGTTATACTTGCACAGATTTTTATTTGTTATGTTTACAAGAAAAAAAATACTGTGTGAGCCCTTTTGTTTGTGGGCCCTTGGTGATTGTCCAGCTCGCCCCCCATGTTAAGCCGGCACTGGTCTTGAATCAAATCTGTTCTTGCGAGTTCTAAGTGTTTGTGGAATCAAACCACTTAGGTTTCGTGTAGAGTCTTACATCTCTCGTGAGAAATAGCCCTTGAGATTTATTCTCTAGTCCCTGGTGTTTTCGGAATCAAATACTTCTCATCTAACGCTTCCATCGATCGCTTCTAAGCCTTGAACCCGTGAGCTTTGTCTTGGTGGAATCCGGGACGTGTATCACCTTTAGAAGGTAAATCATGAATGTTTTACCTTTTCATGTACTAATCCATCTATTTCACATGAAATGAATGGAATAAGATTTTTGATTATGTAATCTATCCATAAAATTACTAACCAATTAATTAAGTCGCATTAAAATATACATATGCAAAATACCACACTGAAAAGAGAAAAAAATCAGAAAATTAGTGTAAATATTGTTGGTGTGTCCTTGACTACAATGTTTTTGGAAACATTATCTTGAATTCTTGATCATGTGTTTAGTCGTTTTTATCATCTCCGAGTTGTCGATGATATCAAAATTCTTGATGGTGATCGATTCACCTTTGAGAATAACACTTGACATATTTCTCACTAACGCTAGTATCATTATTTTTTGTTCTTTCAATGAAAAACTTAATTTTATTAATAGAAATTTCTCGAAATGCGCTTAAGACCTGGACATGACGACGATCTATATTTACTGAACTGAGAAAAAATTGCCAACCCTGTTAAGGAGGTTGAGGTTGGACTTGCGTGGTGGTCGGAAGCAGCGATTCCGATCCACTAGCACGGCGAACACAAGACCGTTTCTTTGTGACATTCACTATCAATAGGTTCGAGTTGACTATTCGGTTTCCGTCCCTGAGCTAATTAACATTTTTAAATTCTAATAATTTGCTATAAACTTTTGATACTGTCCACATGGGATTTTAAACGATCAATCGCGATTAACTATCTCGTTAACTAACATTTTTATTAATTCTAGTTATTTTCTATATTAAGTTTTTTGCAAAAAGTAATACTAAGTCATACCAAATACTTAGTTGAATATCTCATATAAATTTTAATATTTTATATATGTTAACAATTAGAACATAAACGATTTTATTACACAAAAAATCACATTACTCAAAAACTAAAGTAGCCTTAAAAACAGTAAGTAAAAAACTTAAGAAAAATAATGCAGAAAATATTAGTACCTAGGAAAATTCTCATTTATGGTCAAGAATATCAGCTATTGATAGAGCTAATAGCCTAATACTAACCATTTTTAACCTAGATCAAAAATATCAACAATTCCGGTTTAATATCAATAACTATCATCAATACTTGAGAATTGAAGAGCTAACCTAGCCAATTGAGATCGATAACTAATTTGATTACCAAATTTAGAGTTCGCTGATGAATTTAGGCACGACAATTGGTTAGTATAATACTGATGACACATGTAATCTCAAACTCGGCAAAATTATATTGGAAGAAACCTAAATCATATGCCTACATCTATACTAGTATTTTTGAATGCATTTTTTAGCGATGGTTTAAATTGTTATTCGACAATTTGGTACCCAATCCGATAAGAAATTTCCTTCATAAATCTTACACCGGATATTCATATCTTTTTTAGATCGAGTCAAAACATATCCGAAATTATGAACCGGATATTCCATATTTAAAAATATAGATATTTAGAGGATTTGGTTAAGATTTACAAATACAGTTCTCCTATCACCTTTGTTTGAACATATTTTTTAACTATTTTGAATTAGCATATAATACATAAAGTAAAAAAAAATCTCAATTTTTTTTCTGCATATATTGGGATTCAAATTTTTAAAACGAAATATATTACCCAATTCATTAAAAGGTGTGTGTTCAACGTCCTATATCGACTAAAATGTTTATATATTGATTCAGAATCATATTATAAATAAGATCAAAATGAATCCAAATCCGAATGAACAAGAAGCTCAACTTAATAAGCATCCAAGTTTAAAATCATATATTGTTTCATTCGGATTTTTAGTTTAACTGCTTAATTTTATGGGAAATATTAAATTTTAAACTTTTAAAAAAATTTAAATAATATAATTCATATATTTAAAATCAATAAAAAGTTTATAATGTTATGAATATTTGAACATATATAACAGTTACAATAACACCAGACGGGTCATATTGCTAGACGGAGTTATATAACGGGACAATTTTTAAGAAGTTTTAAATATTATAATTCATATATTTAAAATCAAGAAAATTTTATAATATTAAGAACATTTAAACATATAGAAAGAGCTAAAATAACATGAGACAGTTATATTGCAGGACGTGGTTATATTGTAGGACGGGATTATATGACGGGACAAGTTTGAATCAAAAAAAAAATTATTAACCCGCTGCTTCAATACGGGTTAAATCTTCATTCTATTACTTTTTTAATACCACCAATTTTAGATATATCGAATGATCCTGATTAAAATAAAATTGTATAAAAAAATATTGTCTTGTGGTATACAGTTACTTAATAACAATTGTAAACTATAAAATATAAATTTTTTTAAAAATGATACAATCTGTAAATTTTTATATAATAATATCTACATTAAATTTTAAAATTACTAATTTTAAAAACAAATCGTCCCACGGTATACCGTATGTTAAATCTAGTTTTATATTCGTATTTGTTAAACAACAACCCTTTCATGCTAACTATTAATTAATACATGTGCTATTGGATATCACATGTAATCTGTTTACCACGATGTAGGTATCACACATTCCATACTCTCTGAAAAACAGAAAATTCTCTTAATTCATGTTCGTCAATAGTTCTACTGGAATTGTGTATCAACCAACATAATAAGCAAGATATTATCAATGTCTTGAAAATGATTGCGTTCCCGAAAATTATCATATCCATGACTGTAAACTAATCAAACTTATCGATGGACTGTTCGAGTCCAAATAAACAAGAAAACAAATATTGAAAACAACATGAAATGTATCTTCTCATGCATAAAAATGATTTATTTAATAAATTAATAATACGCTATCAAAAGAAAGATTTGTTGTTACCAAAAGATCTAGATGCACAAATCCGAAACTATGATTACAAGAAAAGACTATCATTAAAGTCTTATATTTTTTTCATACTACTGTGTTACCACTTCAAAAGGTTTATAAAGCTATTACAGTGAAAGGGCTTACTAATCACATATGCACCATTTTTCTTCCACTTGTCCTTAAGCTATGAGGAATTACGAGTCTTGTGGAATATACCTCTTCGCATCTCCAAAATATGTTTTTAGTGATTGTAGCTGAAAATTTTCTTCACTTTACCGTGTCGTCACTTGAAAAGGTTTCTAGAGATATTATAGTGAAAGGACTTACTAATCACATATGCACCATGTTTCTCCACTTGTCATTTCCGAGTGTTGTGGAATATCGTTTTTCCATCTCCAAAATCTTCCTCCAAAGTATGTTTTTATTGATTGTAGCTTAAACATTTCTTCACAATATTGTGTTGCCACTTCAAAGGTTTCTAGAGATATTATAGTGAAAAGACTTACTAATCGCATGTGCACCATGTTTCTCCACTTGTCCTTAAGCTCAAAAGAATTACGAGTCTTGTGGAATATACCTTTTCGCATCTCCAAAATCTTCCTCCAAATTATGTTTTTCTGGATTGTAGATGAAATTTTTTTCACACTATTGTGTTGTCACTTCAAAAGATTTTTAGAGATATTATAGTGAAGGGACTTACTAATCACATATGCACCATGTTTTTCCACATGTCATTTACGAGTCTTGTGGATTATACTTGTTCCCATCTCCGAAATCTTCCTCCAAGGTATGTGTTTACTTATTTTAGTTGAAATTTTTTCCACTCCCACCTATCCAAAAGAAAAATATACTATGAACTTAAGCTAAAATTGTACTGGTTCCTTCAAACAACTATTTTACAAAATCACTAGATCCTAACCCGCAAGTACATGCAGGAGTAATATAAAAACTATGGGATTTATATAAAGTATTATTTTATAACCTTTGTTTGTTTTGTGTAATTGAATTCTTAAAAAGTATAGATATTAGAATAGTTTTAAAAAATATATTTTTCTTTGTGTTTAAAAGAAATTTTGATACACACATTGTTTTTCTGTTTGATTAATTCTATATTTTGAAGAGATAGTTTAGTTATTAAAAGATGTAAGATTTAGCATAATAGTTAAGAGTAATACAATTAAATAAACAGTTTGGTTTGTTCCATAAGAAACAATTTGAACAGTTGCAGAATTCTCGGGTTTATTACTTACAAATTATTCTACATTTGAAACTGTTGAAAATTAAATTTATTATTGTTTATAAATTAAAATAGATTTTGTATCTCATACCATTATTTTAATTAAATGGTCTATTATTGAAACCGAATCTAGTTTTGTGGACCGAATAACATGTTAATGTAGACCCAATTATTAATCCTCTTAGACTCATTTATTTGTTTTTGGGCATTTAGTATACTAATAAATATTAATTTATTTTTTAGACAGATATTAGTTGTGAAGAGGAAAATCATTGTTTTATCTACAAAAAAAACACACACAGAAAAAAATGAAGAACGCCGATCGATCATATAACCAATTAAAAGATTCTCATATTATCCAGCTATTTTGTCTCCTTTAATAATCTTTGGTTTGCACTTTGTGAATTCTATAAATAGGTAAGCTTAATTTTCAATCAGATTTATATTTTTACTATTTTTTTATACATATGTGATTCAATTTCTAGTTTTTGAAATTTTCTGTTTGAATAGATTTTTTCGCGCAGGATTGTCAAGAAGCTTGGATCTTCTACGGGTAATTATTTTCAATTGAATATCCAACTTTAGTAATCACCGATTTTTTTCTACGGATATGAAATTGATTTCAAGTAGCTTGAAATTTATGAAGATGAACAGTTAATTTCAAATCTACATAACTATTTTTGTTTAAAACCAATAACTATTTTTTTTTTACCTAAGAAGTGTTATAATTTATTTAGTTTCAAATAACTAAAAATACAATGATGTTCACAAATGATGAGTATAAAGAAAGAAAAATAAACTGATAGGATTAGAAAAATCAACAGATGTTTATAAGAATGTAAATATGTTAAACACAAATTTTAATGTATCCTAGTGAAGCATTAAAGGTAATTAAAAAACATGGAGAAAGCAATCACTTTTTTTCATTGGAGAAATTCAGATATATATAGGTAAAACATCTTTGTCCAAAAAAAAATATAGGTAAAAGATAAGTGAGATTATAATTTTAACACTTTTGTTTTTAGCTATGCAGATTTAATTAATATTATTATTTTTGATAGGGTATTAAAAATATTATGGTGAAAGCTATTATGGTGAAAGCTTACTAATCACATATGCACCATGTTTCTCCATTTGTCCTTAACCTCAAAGGAATTACGAGTCTTGCAGAATATATCTTTTCGCATCTCCAAAATCTTCCTCCAAGATATGTTTTTATTGATTGTAGCTGAACATTTCTTCACAATATTGTGCTACCACTTCAAAAGATTTTAAAAGATATTATAGTCAAAGGACTTACTAATCACATATGCACCATGTTTCTCCACTTGTCATTTACGAGTTTTGTGGAATATACCTTTTTCCATCTCAAAAATCTTCCTCAAAGGTATGTTTTTATTGAGTTTAGCTGAAAATTTCTTCACACTATTGTGTTGCCACTTCAAAAGATTTCTAGAGATATTATAGTAAAAGAACTTACTAATCACATATGCACCATGTTTCTCCATTTGTCCTTAAACTTAGAGGAATTTACGAGTCTTGTGGAATATACCTTTTCGCATCTCCAAAATCTTCCTCCAAAGTATGTTTTTCTTGATTGTAGCTAAAATTTCGGATATCAAAATTGAATACCATTCGGGTATTTTTTTATTTCGGGTTCGAGTTCGGTGTCTTTTTTTTTGGACCGGGTTCGGGTCCGAAATTCGGGTTCGGTAAATATGCCCAGCCCTAGCTATAGTTTTTATTATTAGATCCACGTGAAAAACTGGAAAGGGTGGCCGGGTTATCCGATTGATTAGTGTAAAGACAATTACGTTGATACCCTTAATGAGATTTAATAAATTTCAAATAATTCCAATGTCAATGTATGTAATATAATACATGAGATAAAGTTACTTTATCAAATGTACTTCACTTAATAGTTAAAAGATGGATGATGTCTCACCAGCCATTATTCATTTAAAAACAAACCAGACTTCAGCTTTTGAAGGGTTACGCAATACCTCATGATTTAGTTTGTACCAAGAGCATACTTTCGAAACATTCCATTTCCAGTAGAGTTTAACAAGAAGAACGGGACAGAATCGTAACAAGTTTAACTAGTGCGGATTACATCAGCTAGACAAACTTAGAAATCATACAAACATTCCAAAAAGAACCACCACCAGTCCTGGTCGTAGAGTTTGCATGCATTTTCCCCCGGTAGAGATGACAGCATATTGCTAACAGATTCATACATACTTGAGCAGAGGCTTACTGGATCAATATGCACTATCACAAGAGCGATGGGAGCCAATGCTGCTATTGTTACGATCACGGCAGCCTCGTCTAAATCGGTAATGTCCTTCTCCGGACTATTAGTCAATTTGCACATCCATTTATACAACTTGTCGGCAATCATAATAATTTTGTTTCTGAATTCCAGATTCTGACTACTCTTATTCAGAATGTACTGTTTTGTAGCCCTTCCTGCAGACTCTACTGTTTCTTTAACTAAGAGAGTAGTTCCCATGCTGACAATATCACCAAGATTACCGAAATCGCGACTGGTTTGGCCACCATCCAATTTTTCCATAAGTCTAATTGTAGCCATTGTCTTCTCCTTAAGCAAGATATCATTGTTGGCCAGAGACTGTCTAAGCTCATCCAATGCTTTATATGCAATTTCTGTGTCCACCTCTCTCCGCTTCAATCTTTTTGCAACATCTGCCTCCACATTTTGGGCCGTCTCTTTAGTAAAGATTCCTCCTCTTCCAAAACCAACACAGTTTTCAGTTTCATCCTCTCTCTGCTTCAATTTGTTTGCAAGACTTGACTCCGCATTTTGGGTCGTCTCATGAGTAAGGCTTTCTTTTCCAACATCAACACATTTTTCATTGTGGAATATACCTTTTTCATCTCAAAAATCTTCCTCAAAGGTATGTTTTTATTGAGTTTAGCTGAAAATTTCTTCACACTATTGTGTTGCCACTTCAAAAGATTTCTAGAGATATTATAGTAAAAGAACTTACTAATCACATATGCACCATGTTTCTCCATTTGTCCTTAAACTTAGAGGAATTTACGAGTCTTGTGGAATATACCTTTTCGCATCTCCAAAATCTTCCTCCAAAGTATGTTTTTCTTGATTGTAGCTAAAAATTTCTTCACGCTATTGTGTTGCCATTTCAAAAGATTTTTAGATATATTATAGTGAAATGACTTACTAATCACATATGCACCATGTTTCTCCATTTGTCCTTTACGAGTCGTGTGGAATATACATTTTTCCATCTCCAAAATCTTCCTCCAAGGTATGTTGTTATTGATTGTAGCTGAAAATTTCTCCGCTCCTACCTATCCAAAATAAAAATATACTATGTATTTAAGCTAAAGTGTATTGGTTGTATCAAACAACTCTTCTACAAAATCATCTTTGTAATGAGGATGTATTCAATCAAGAATCACAATCATTTACGTTGAAATGACAAACAGTTTGTAGTCAATCATGAATTTTTAAAGATTTCTAAAATGCAATGTAACTAGTAATAATATTTTGTAAATGGATATTAAAATTAAATGTGATTAAAATTGTGAATTGAAGGTACATACAAATCCACTATTATTGACTTCAAAGTTTGTTAGACAATTACAAATATAAAAATCTAAATTTCATGGTTCTAATAACATATCACAGCAACTTTAAATTAATCTAAAATCTTAGTTAAAAGTTAAAACTCAAATCATACCAAATATTTAGTTGAATATCTCCTATAAATTTTAATATTTTATATATGTTAACAATTAGAAAACAACGATTTCAATACACAAGAAATCACATTACTCAAAAACTAAAGCAGTCTAACAAAACAATTAGGCCGAAAACTTAAGAAAAGTAATGCAGATAATATTAGAACCTAGGAAAATTCTCATTTCTGGTCAAGAATATTAGCTATTGATAGAGCTAATACCAAACATTTCTAACCTAGATCAACAATATCAACAATTCTGGTTTAATATGAATAACTATCAGCAATACGTGAGATTTGTAGAGCTAACCTAGCAAATTGTGATTGGTAACCAATTTGATTACCAAATTTTGCAAAACTATATTGGAAGAAATCTAAATCATTTGCCTACATTTATATTAGTATTTGTTAAACAACAACCCTTTCATGCTAACTATTAATTAATTCATGTGCTATTTGATAAGACATGTAATATGCTTACCATTATGTAGATATCACACATTCGATACTCCCTGAAAGACTAGAGAAAAATCTCTTAATTCATGTTCGTCAATGGTTCTATTGGAATTATGTATGAACCATCAATAATAAGCAAGATATCATCAATCTCTTGAAAATGACTGCATTATTTAAAATTGTCATATCTATGATGCAAACCATTCAAACTTATCAATGGAGTGTTTGAATCAAAATAAACAAGAAAAAAAATATTGATAACAACATAAAATGTATATTCTCATGCATAAAAATGATTTGTTTAATAAATTGATAATAACGATAACAAAAGTTACGAAAGAAAATGAAAGTTCTTTTTATTTTATTAATGAGGGTTGTGGGAGAAAATTTTTTTTGATAGTGTAAAAATTGAGATACAAAAAAGTGTGATTGGCTGTAGTACATAATGAAAAATTACTGAACTGAAATCAATTATTCTGAATCATAATTTTTTGTATTTGACATTAAAAAAAACGAAAAAAATGAATATTTTATTTTACCATGAGAACTAGCAGAGAAACTTATTTGTAAGAGTCAAAATTGATATACAAAATGGGTGTGATACAAAGGCCTTGAATTAGGAAACAAAACAAAGACAGTTCATTAGAGGAAGAGGATGATCTATACTTGTACTCCCAATCTTTGTGGAGAGATGTGAGTGGATGTCAAACAGAGTGACAATCATGTATCACTGTGCCTGTGGAGAATCAATATATGTCACTGTTCATCGTGGAGGAGAATGAGTAATTTTTGTTGTTGGTGATTCACTTGCTGCTGTTTCCCAGCCCTACACCCATGTTCAATCTCATCCCCGTCAGATCATACCTTCTGTGAGTGTGGATGTTTCCGGCGAAATCGGTTTGGACATAGTGTCCACATGTCCAACGTGTAGACTTGTACTAAGATTCACTAAGTTCGAAGGAACTGTAGAGCGTTACGTGGAGCAGGAGCAGAAGTTTATATAATTATGATTCAGTTGTTGCATTTTTATTTCTGAAATATGTGAAATGATTCAGTTTCTTTTGTTGCTTTTATTTCTAAAATATGTAAAAACTCATATTAAAGTGTATATACTTGAGAAGTTATCTCCTATGGGTACTCAAATTTTGTTAATTTATGGTGTTTATATGTTTTAGTGTGTTTCAGATAAATTAACCTTGTTTTGATGTTGATTTCATATTATTGTGAGAAATGCTCAGTGAGGGTAGTTCATTTCCAAGTTCTCTGTGAGATTGAAGGGACTTCAAACTGTTTTTCTCGTTTCATTTAGTTGCTTTGTGCTTGGACTCCTTTTTCCTTTCACATAAATCGACTAAACAACCAAGTATCATCACTTTGACATTCATAATATTTGAATAAATCTTTTATTTCATATCTCTTGTTCTTACTTTCTCTCTTACTGTTTCTCTCATTGCTTCCCAGTTCAGCAATAGTAGGACTAATTTCCGGTTAGTAATCTTGTTTTTCAGCTTATAGTTGTTTCCTTTTCAAAAGCATTTGATTGCTCAATGAATTCACTTGGAAATTCAACATGTTCTGCTAGTTGACCTGAAGATATGAATGAGTATTAACTTTTGAACCACATAAAATAAAAAAAATGAATTTTTTTTTGTTTGTTCATACTTTTTTTCCTGTTAGCGGGACGGTTCGTCATTACCCAAATAGTGGTGGATTGGTGTGAGATCAGCTTTTTCTTTTATTGAAGTTTATTTTTTTATTCTCTTTTTTTTTCCGAAATATAAAACATATAAATAACAGTGCTATTTTTTTGTCTAGGCTACAATATATATTCATAAATATTGTTTGGACTACCTAAATTTTATGTTACATCTTTAAATTGTATTAATGATTTATTTATTCATAATAATTATTTTTTTTCTTCCTACCATAAAGGATTTCAGAGTTCAAAGAGATTTTTGTGTTATACATCAAATGTGAGCTACGTACAAATAAATAGAGAAGCTATACAACAAAAAGCGTAAACTAAGGCAGAATCTATCTAGTTAAGAAGATCTCTATCTATCTCTTGTTATTCACATCGGCATTTGTTAGAGTATATTCGTAGTTACCGAACCGGATCAAACCAACCCCTAATACCCTCCCTCAAGTTGGAGAATACAGATTTCGTATTCCAAGCTTGGACTTGAAATATCGAAAACCGTCTTTGCCAATGGTCTTTGTTAAAATGTCTGCTAGCTGTGATAAGTAAACCAAAATTAAAAATCAATTTATTCCGTTAAATACATTAAGCTATTTAATATTATTGTTTACTGTTTTTATGGTTCTTAAGTTATCGCATTAATATTTGTACGCTAGATAATAATTTGTAATGTCGATTGTACATATATTATTTTAGTAATCAATTATAAAACACATAATTTATAGTTGAGAATGTTATTTTCAAATTACTACTTCTTCTGGTCTTTTTTGCTTGATGTTTAAAGTTTTTGCGCACCGATTAAGGAAATATTTAATTTTGTTTATATCTAAACTAAAACATCATATATTATCTATTCAACCAGTAAAAAAATAATTTTCAAAATATTAATATCAAAACTAATATAAATTAATTAATATTGCATTAAAAACTTAAAACATCATCTAATTTAGAACAAAATTTTTTTCTTAAAACATCAACTAAAAAGGAACTAAGGGAGTAGTACTATAGATAAATTATATGGATTTACAAATTAATTTTTAATAAATTCTTAATTAATTTTTATTCATAATCATGAGTACATATTTAACATAATTTATAATATTATGTATTTATTATTCAATAAATTTTGATCTAAAAAATATTCTTTGAACCGCATCACTTGATCCGCTTTTACCATTCACATATAATTTGGACCGCCAAATTTGCTTGATCCGGTTTTGTTCCGTCCCATCCGCTTGATCTTTTTTTGTTCTGTTTGATACGCTTGAACCGCTTGATCCGCTCGTCCGATACGCTTTCTCCATTCAGAGCCAAAACGTATAGTGGGCTCTCTCTCTCTCTCTCTCTCTCTCTCTCTCTCTCTCTCTCTCTCTCTCTCTCTCTCTCTCTCTCTCTCTCTCTCTCTCTCTCTCTCTCTCTTTTCTCACTTATCTTAGAGAGAGAGAGAGATGCGATTTTGCTTTCCGATTTCAGATCTTTGATCGAAAATCGGTTTTAACTTACGGCTGTGTCCGGATCTTATGTTTTGTTTATATAACTTCCGATTTAGTTCGGATTTCTATATTTTTAGTTTTGTAGTTTTGGTTCTACTCATCCTTATGGGCTTAATTTGATTTCTTTTTAGTCAGTTGGCTTAATTTTTCCTTCTGGCGTGAGTAGTATCTTTGTTATTCCCTTAGTAGAGCCTTCATATATGAAGCAAACCTTTTCACGGGTTGAAGAATTGAGTTGGCTTTTTGACAAAGGAGAAATCGATTCTCTTGCAAAGTGATAGTTGAAGGAGGAAGGCTGCTCAATAAGATTTGAAGAAAGGCAGGTTGATTCATGGTGCTGTGAGTTAAAGTCATCAGAGATCAACTTTCGGAAACTTTTTCGACCAGCGGTGGTTGTCGGTGGAGTTTCCTTCTCAGAAAATTATTGAAGGGCACGTGTGGGACATGTGTCTCTTGTTGCAATCGTTATCAAAAATCTTTATAAAATGGGCTTATTATAAATTTTCGTTTTTGGGATTCATATCCAATTGTATTTTATGGACCAAATTTTGGCTATTAATGAAAATACTGCCGATAAAAAATAAATAAATGGGTGTGATACGTTGTATTAAGCACAGAAATAGTAAGGTAGTGTTATAAAATATAACGTAAACACAAATAATATTATTATATATTGTACGTGTATGAGCAATAAATTTGAGAGATGGAAAACGTAGAGAGGAAGAGGAAAGAAATGGAACACTTTATGACTTAAATTCTCTCACCTCCTTATTCACATTCACTTTGCTCCTACAAGGCATATATATAGAGAGACTATAGAATGGATAAGCATTTAATAGCTTGGGCAACAAGCCTTATACATTACTTAATTGAGAAGTAAAACAATATAGATAATCTTCTGTAATGGATAATCATAAAGAGATAGATAATTGGGTAGTTATCTATCCAATTTATAACACTCCCCCTTGATTATCCATTACCATCAATGTATTGCATACTGCCTCGTTAAAAACCTTATCATGGAAAAACTGTATAGGATAAAAACCATGATAAAGGAAAAGAGTACAGTAACACAATCTCTTCTTAGAACAGACGAACCTTGTTTTCTTCATAGGTTTCGTAGATGATGCATCTTGATCATTCTCTTCGTTCCTTATGATCTTGTCAATATATAACAAAGATTTTGGAAGAGAGATAGACTTTCACTTTGATGTCTATCTTTTGCGTGTTATTTGCTGCCTCGTTAAAAACCTTGTCATGGAAAAACCTAGTGGGATAAAAACCATGATAACGGAAAAAGAGTGCAGCCACGCTCATCATCATATGTCTCCCCCTAGAAGCATCATCTTCAAAAGATGAATTTTGAATGGCGTAGCAGGTAGCACCTTTGAAATAAAACGGCTACATTGTTACTTGGCCGGATGTACTGGACATCAACTTCTTGCTTCTTCTCTGATTCTTGGGTGCAAAAGAAGAATCTTGGAGAAATATGTCTTGTCATCTCGCTTTTAACATAGCTTCCTTTGAATTGGAAAACATTTGCAGCAGTGCCTTGTTGTTGGCTCTTCACTGGTACCTATATTGCTTGCTTTTTGTATATGTTGAGTGTATCAATCTGAGCCATACAGAGTCTCGATATGCTTCATGGAGCGCAATAATTTTGGCATGACTTGAACAAGCGACGACCAAAATTTGTTGTTGGAAACGCCACGAAGTTGTTGTTTTGCGATATATATTTATAAAGGTCTGATATAGATCCTCCGTCTACAAAACCAACAAAACCCAACTCTGGGTTTCTAGAATAAAATAAGCCCAAGTCAATCGTACTTTGCAGATAGTGGAAGACACATTTGAATTCATTCAAGGTCTAGTCAGAGGAAATGAATTAATCATGCAAGTAGATCAGTAGCAAATGCTCAGTACAATATATTCACAAGATATATAAATGCTCGTCAGCATTTATATATGTTAGCTACAATTCACAAAATATATAAATACTCGTCAGCATTTATATATAGTGTTTCATGATCAAATATATAGAGTCGAATTCCTTTAGAAGTGACTAATATAACATCTCTTTCTTTTGATGTATAGTTGGAATAATATCTGGAAACACTTTTGTCTTTCCAAGATCTTTTCTTCCAAATAACTCTTTAAGAGTTTTGATGATGTTCAAAAACATCATGCTTATAAGTTCCCGGGAATATAACTATGATATCATATATCTTTCAGGGATTAGTCCTACAGACATCCCATAAGATGCAATTCAAGTCATTTATTTATCAACTCAATATCGAGTGATTTTGACAAAACACGGCGCAACACACCGTCTTGTCTTAAGTATCATAATACTCTTTTGATGCTTGGACCATGTGTCCAGGAATTACTCGTTTCTTATACGAGATTAATATAAACTTGACTGCGTCTTTGTTTATTGGCCAATATATATCTCTTAATCATAAAGAAATTATCTATCTCATTTATAACAGGTAGATCCTTCTACTTTAAAAGTTCTTCTTTTGTTTGGGCTTCACGTGTTGGGCTTTTTGTTTTGAAAGGTCATTATCTTTAATGGGCTTTCTATTAGCTGTAATACGTAACAAGTTTAAAACTTTTGTTGTCTCTTTGTTTGTTAATGTTTTTTTTTTTTTTTTTCGTCTGAAGATTTCATTGATATAATGCGGTTGAGTTATACATAGCCGACAAGAATCGAAATCCTTTCGGAAACTAGGCCGGCGGGTACATAGAAACCCCCAGAGACTAAGGCCGAAAAAGGCGAATTACTAAGGCCGAAAAGGGCGAGCTAACAGAAAACCTTAGGAAATAGATTACATGGAAAACAACTAAAGGGAAAAAAGCTAAAGACTCCAAAGCAAACATACTGCAAACTCTTCCCAACAAGCAGCCGACTAACACTTCCATAGAACATTTTGGCGCTGAAGAGAGGTTACTGACAAGAGCCTCGGAACCGAGAGGGAAATATAACCGAGCTCACACAACCACCTCCACAGCAGAAACGAAGACGACGAACAAGAAGATCAAAGCACAGAACCTAACCACAACGACCACTTAAGTGCCAATGAAAACGAGAAGGCGGAGGCTCAAGGAGAAACCTTGAAATCTGAGAGGGGAAACGCCAAATAGGACCACCCATCCTTACACACGGACCTTCGTAGACCCAGCCAAAGCCACCTACAGACTAATGACTGGTTACGCCACGCAAAGAGAAGGATAAGAGATCGACCCACCATAACGTCCAAAACTCAACCAGGAAACCAAACGAGCTTCCAAGAGAGAGCTAGTAGATGCCATTATAGGAGGCTAGCATCCGAATGAAGAGCCCACAAAACAGAACCTTTCGCCAAATCACCACACAACAAATCAAGACGGAAGACAGAAGAGAGGCCGAGCAAGGAGTCAAAACAAGCCTTCCCAAAAGCAGAACCTAAGGCTTCTAACCACAACAAGCAGAGAAACACACAACACAAACCATAGAAGTCACTCACCACCTATAGAGGAATAACCCGAAACGATGAAGCCGATGTCACAAAACCAAAGGGATCTTCGTAGCCATGTCGTGGAAACGAAAAGCTGACTAAATACAAGCCTCCAACGAGACAGCACCACCGCAAAGCCAACAAATTCCAAGAACAAAACTCACAAGACACCACCTCGAAAGCAACCGGAGCATACGACAAGACACCACCGACTCCCAATCCAACGAGAACAGAGCCAAAGGACCAGATTGTCGAGACATTAGAACCAGATCGGGAACCAAAAAAACCTCCAAGACCAGATCAGACAAGAAGGAACCACCGGGGAACAGATCCTTCAATGAACCTCACCGATCCGCCACCAAATCTCTGAGATAGTCACCACGCTGGGAGGAACCACCATCGCCGAGAGAAAAGGAAGAAGGAAGGAGACGACGAAGCTACGGTTTCTCAAATCAAAAGGTTTTGTTTGTTAATGTTATGAATGTCATAATTTCATTATTTAATAAAATTCATTTCAAAAATACAGTTACTGAAATTCAACTTCTCCTCAAGAACTTGCATCTACTCAAATCTCCCCCAAATCCTGAAAAATTAGGGTTTCTTCGAGAAATTTGAATCAGAGTGTGAAAATGGAAGGAAGCAAAAGCGAGGCAGTGTTCGATTCCATGAATCTAAATCCTCAGATTTTCATCAACGAAACTATCAACTCCGTCGAAGATTATGTCGACGCAGCTTTTGATTTCTATGGCCGGTTCGTTTCTCACTCACTCTCTTCCTCCATGAATTCTTTGATACAAAGCTTTTTCTAACAAAGGGTTTGTTGTTTGGTACTTACTTACATTTGCAGTGAAGCATCCAAATTTCTTAAAATCAACGGATCTGATAAAACAAAGTCACAAGATTTATCAAATGTGAGTTATAAATAATGATTCTTTTTTCTTCTTACTCTTGTCACATTTTGGTATTACGCATTTTTAGGGTATTGAACATGTTCGTGGTTTGATACAATCGGTTATTGACAAGCGTTTGGAATTGTGGGAAAGCTATTGTGTTCGATTCTGTTTCGCAGTTCCTGATGGATTTCTGTTGCCAAAGAGTGTGAGTCTATGTTCTCTTCATTGTCTCTGTCTCGTCTTTCACTCTTATACTGTGATTTCCTGAATTGTTTCTGTTCGTCAGGACGAGTCGTCGGTTGTTCATCAGGATGAGTTATGTGATCTAGAGTTGGATGCAGAATTGGATTCTTTAAGGGATAAGCTTAATTTGGTGAGAAAAAAAATAGATACTTTTTGATCTTTGGTCTGTTACATTTTCGTTTCTTTGAGGTGAGGTACTTTTGTTTCAGGTAGGAAAGAGGTCTGTTGAGCTTGACTCCGAGCTTCAGGCTTTAGAAAGAGCCTCGGTGTCGAGGGAACGGTCTGTGAGATTCGTTAATGAGGCTTTGGAGCTTTATGATGAGTCTTCTGTCGATGAAATGTTCAAAGGTAATCAAGATGCAAACTTTTTTTAGTCTTTGATTTATTGAGATCTTTTGATTCATTTCAATGGAATGATTTGGTTATCTTTTATATGTTAGTTCTTGATGACCCTGAAAACTCTTGTTCACTTAGCCTGTTAGTCATGAACTTGAACAAATCGACATTTTTTCGTTGCTGCTAGCTAGTATTGAGTAATGTCCTGTTTTCATTTAGAATATAGATATGAAATCTCCCTACTATCTTCTGGAGATATACTTCCGATTAATTTTGATGGGATCTCGTTTAGAGTTTTGTTATTTTGCATATATTATCAAGTAGTGGTCGTCCATTTTTTCTTTTTCCTCAGCAATACCTTTGTTTGTTTGATGACTATAGACGACTTGAATCTCAAATATTGGTTTTCTGCAGAGATGGCGAAAATGGCATCGGAACTTCGTGCAAGCGTGGAAAGGCTGAAAACAAGAAGAATGGAAGCCAGTGAAAGCGCTAAAGTAAAGAGGCTAAAGAACCATGGCAAAGAGTTCTCGGCAATGACTTTTGGTAACAAAATTCAACATTGTTGTGATATTACAGAGTTAAAAGAATAATAAGTGTTACATGTTTGTCATCTTCCTTCGTTTTCTGTGGTTCTCAGATGGAAAGCTTGAAGACCTCGAAAAGTTTCAAGCCGAGTTAAAGAAGATGTGAAAATTGTTAACCTTTGTAGGAAAACAATTGTGGTTTGTCAAAGATAATGCTCTAAACTGACTTCTTTTTTTTTTTGTAAATGACTAACTTGACATCTTCTCTTTAAAGACTACATCGTTCCAAGCTTACCAAAACGGTCACTTTCAGATTAGAATTCACAAAATATCAAATTACGAAATGTCACCAAAACAAAAGGATTGGACAAAAAGAACCCAATCTCTTCCTAGATAGAAGACTACTGTTTTTAAAGCTCAGGATCGACTCATAACTTTATACCAACAGTTTAATCGTACTCTATATATAGTTCAAAAACATGGTTGAAAACAAATGGTTTCAAAGCTTGGGCGATGTTGACAAATGTTCCACTCATAAGCGTAGGGAGAGTGGGAGAAAACTTTCAGCTTGTACATGATTTGGATCACTAAGAGCATCTACATCGTACAAACATTAGTGAGTGTCTTCTCCTAAAAAAAAAATATAAAGTTTCTAAAAAATTAATATTATAATTATAAATGTCTTTGAAATTATAGACATCACCTTACATTTTTTGAAGAATATCTTAAATTTTAAAGACACCCTAATTATAATATTAACTTTTTTAACTTTATATTTATTTTTTATTAGGGGAAGACACCCAATAATAGTTGGGTGATGGAGGTGGCCTAAAGATTACTTTCTTGTTAAAGTTTTAGCTACAAGAGTAAAAGTTTCCTCAAAGTCTTTCCCTTTTACTTGATGATTTCCGAGAACAACTAAGCATGTCTTGTATCTCTCGATTGAACCATCAGCATGATACTTAATTTTGTAAACCCACATATTACCAACACCCAAAATTTCTTCGGCTTGGGGTGATGCCAACACGGGTCCAATCTCTATTATAGCATCATCAATCTCATTTGGTTATTTATCAAGGGATTTTTCAGTAACTGCTTCAGCCGTTTCTTTCACATTATCTCCAACACCGACTTCGACAACTGAACTTAATTCAACTTCATTCTCGAAAAAACTCCCCCTGTCGATGATATTTGGTGATAATCTGTTAGGAAGCTCACTTAAACAAGGTAATTAAAGAACAAAGAAAATTGAGACTCATGAACGAACTTAACAAGTAAAAGCCCATGCACGACAAACCCATAGAAGTTCAAATCGAGGCGTTACTACAATCAAAATGGATTCATTTATGAAAAATCATTATATTTATTTGCGGTTTTGATATATCTAGTATTTTGAATTTATTAATCTTCTTAACTATATGTACACGGTCAGTATTCAATAATGCAAAATGGGTTATTTTATATAGGGAAAAATGTCGAAAAATTCGCGAACTTTCAAATTTGGGACGAAAAAAGCATGAACTATCGAAATGTCATTTAAATCATAAAGTTTAGGTTGACTTTTTGACAAAATAGTGAAGTTTAGTTTGACTTGGCCATTTCGGGCATGCCGTTAAATTTCCGTTAACCAGACGATAACGGTGTTAAATTTCCGTTAGATTTCTCCGTTGAGTCAAAACGACGTCGTTTTGAAACACTGAAACGACGTCGTTTTGAAACACTGAAACGACGTCGTTTCATTAGAAAATAAGATGAAAAAACTGCATCTGTTGGGAATCGAACAGCTGACCTACTGGACTAATGAGAGGTGCTCAACCATTGCGCTACGATAACATATTGGTATTGTACCAAACCGAACATATATATACTAACAAATAACTATGTACAATTAATTAAAACAATATACAATTTATTAACAATAACAAAACTAAAAAACAATAACCAAACATATACAAATATTAAATATACTTCCATAAATATATATTTTGAAATTTTTAAAATCCTATAATCCTATAATTTATAAAATCTTTATTCCTATAATTTATACAATCTTTGATCCTATATTTATGTGAGAAGAATTGTATAAATTTTATATTTATGTGAGAAAGATTGTATAAATTTTTTGTCATATATTTAATTTACTATATTCTATAAGTTTCATTTTTGTTTTTTTATAATTTAGGAAAAAAAACAATTTTCCAAATAAAGAAGATATCTTTATATATAAAATTAAATATTTAAAAATTTCAAAATATATATTTATGGAAATATATTTAATATTTGTATATGTTTGGTTATTGTTTTTTAGTTTTGTTATTGTTAATAAATTGTATATTGTTTTAATTAATTGTACATAGTTATTTGTTAGTATATATGTTCGGTTTGGTACAATACCAAAATGTTATCGTAGCGCAACGGTTGAGCACCTCTCATTAGTCCAGTAGGTCAGCTGTTCGATTCCCGACAGATGCAGTTTTTTCATCTTATTTTCTAATGAAACGACGTCGTTTCAGAGTTTAAAAACGACGTCGTTTGGACTCAACGGAGAGTTCTAACGGAAATTTAACACCGTTATCGTTTGGTTAACGGAAATTTAACAGCATGCCCGAAATGGCTAAGTCAAACTAAACTTCACTATTTTGTCAAAAGTCAACCTAAACTTCATGATTTAAATGACATTTCGAAAGTTCATGCTTTTTTCGTCCCAAATTTGAAAGTTCGCGAATTTTTTGACATTTTTCCCATTTTATATATACATATGCTTTTTCTGATAAACTAGGATTTAACCCGCGGTATCCCGCGGGCGTAGATTTTGTGCGGTTTTCTTATTAAGTAGTTGATTATGTTTTATATACATAATTTATAAAATTGGTTTTTAAATTAAATCCTTTATAACTATTAATTGGTTGGTTGTTATTTAATACTTAGAAGAATGTGATTTAATGTATTTAAATAGGTGTATTAATTATAAAATGGGTTTGTAATGTTAATATAAGTAAAAGTAGATATTAAAATGTGAAATAGTAAAAGTGGTGTAATTGTTTTTGTGATTATAAGTGTTCTTTTACTATATAGTTTTGAAGAGAATTTGTTTTTAGCATAACAAAGATTCTAACATTTATAATTTTTTTTTTAAAATTGAAGATAAAGTAAACAAATAAAATTAAAATTATGTTTTTAAAAAATTAAAGACACATAAGTTGTGTATTTAAAAAATAAAAAAAAAACAAAAAAAAAACAAAAAAAAAAACATATGAGAACGATGATTCTCGTTCTCCACCGAAAGTTAACATCCATTGACATGCTTAAGCTTTACCGATGATACCGAAGAAGCTGATTATCAGATCATAAGCTCACATCAATCGACATGTTCTCTGCGCCAATTCTTCTTAAGTTGTAAGCTTCATTCTAATTCAATTGAATTGTTTCAAGATAATTTAGATTCTGTGATCAATTACCTTTTTCAGATTTCATATAGGATTCGGATAAAGCACTTGAGATGATGAATTGGTTTCTGTTAGAAATCTGGGAGAGGGGATCAGTGAAGAACAGAACCTGAATGAAACCATTTGTAGATCAAATTTCGCAAATCGACAACACTTAAAGCAATAATCATTTCTATAAGGTTAGTTTTGTTTCTGTTTTTTCAGTTGTAGACACAAATTGAAGTTGTTGTTTGTCTCAATCGGAGTTATAATTGAACTAAGGTTTCTTGATTTTGTTGTCTAGAAATGAACTCTTAAACTTACACTACTGTAGTTGCAGAGAGTCTGATTATGTTTGGATTAAAATGACTATGGAAAGGAACTTGCTGTTCTAAAAAACAATACAAAACATCTACAAAGTTAAATAACAGAAGCAAAAAAACTAAAACTATCCTAATTCCTTAGGTTCTGAAAGATCTCTTTGAAGACGACATTCATTGTTTGACTCTGAGTTTTTCCTTCTTTATCCACAATAAGAACTTTCAAACCTTTTTTGGAAGTGACTCTTGATAAGGCAACATACAGCTGGCCATGAGAAAATACTGGTCTAGGAAGATAAATCCCTACCTCTTTAAGTGATTGTCCCTGGCTTTTGTTTATTGTCATTGCAAAAGCCACAGATATTGGAAACTGTCTTCTCCTCATGCGAAAAGGCAATTTGGTATCTGAAGGTGATATCTGAGATTTAGGGATTATCACTTTGTCTCCGATTCTATCTCCAGTAATCACTTTGGCTTCAAGTATATGATTACCCATCTGCGTTATCTGCAATCTAGTACCATTACATAGCCCATTTTTTGGATCAATATTTCTCAGTAACATAACCGGTGCACCAATCTTGAGACTGAGACTGTGATTTGGCAAACCAGAAAGCTTGATACTATTGAGGAAATCAGGTGTGAAGACAGGATTGTTCAATGAAGCGCCATCCTGAGGATCAATATCGTCTGCACTTAAATAAGTCATTGCTTCACCTGTTTAGGGAAAATTTGTTAGATAAGTTTCTTATACATATACAGTTAAAGATTATAGTATTAAAACGTAATTCTTACCATTAAGTTTCTCAAGCATGATGTCGTTGATGGTGTTGACATCACTATTTCTTGGACACAATATAGCTCTCTCTTGAAAGAATTTAGGATCATTATTAGGCTGCAACAAATCCAATTCTCCGTAAACTGCTTTGATAATAGCTTCAATAGGATCATTTACATCTTTAATCAGTAAATCTTCTGGAATATCTATGAGAACTTCACCATCATTAGGCTCTGAAACTCTACCATCACCAACGGCCAAGAGCCAATCAGAAAACTCTTTAATTTTCTCTGCCTCATCTTTATCCAAATCATTAGCCATAAGACGCATGGACATTATCTTAACATAAACCATGCAATTCGTCATCCTACGTTGCAAATCAGACAAAGAACTAACCAAAACCATTCTGTCTTTGAGACCTGTTTTTTTTTTTAGTTTGATTTCTTTGGTGGTTCTGTAACTGGTGAAGGACTTATCTATATATGCATCAAGGGTTTTTAAAAAGAGGCACAATATCAGTAAATTCTTTTGTTATTTTTTCAAAATTTCAAAATCTTGGAAAACAATTTGACCATTGATTGATTTTGTTGACAGAGTTATTTCATCTTGGTTTTTGTTTTCAAGATCCCTCTGATTGGTTTTGGGAAGTTTTACAGGGTATTGTTATTTGAAAAGAAACATTTTTGTCGTTTAGTTGCTTTTGAATAT